ATTTTGAGATCAAGAAATTGTAGTTAATATCATGAAGAATACAATAAAATCTGCAAAAATAAGGATGAACCAAAACTTTGGGAACCCAACCATCAGACACACTGGGAGAGAGAGTTGAAGAAAAAATTGAAAATTAAAAAGCATCATTTTCCACAAAAGTGAAGACAGCATGAACCCCAACAGAGAAAACACAAAAAAAATAAGTCAGACATTAAGACTCGAGCTATTGCTTGTATCACCATTTGACATTCCCATAATCAAAGCAAGTACGTCACTAGACACAATCACCACAAGTTAACAAACAAATATTTCATCGTAACAAGATTCATGGTAGGTATTGAGAGAGAAATACACTACATGCATGCTAGAGGGCTGAGAATTATTGGCCATTTAACACAAACAGTCCCTGCAAAGAAGAAATGGAAGCATCAATCAGCAAAAAAGAAATTGCATCTTGAAGGCTTATTACATTGCTAAATTATAATGTCTTTGTGATACATGGTAATAAAACCTTGTAGAAAACATGAATACTTTCCCAACAACGTAGCATTTGACAGAGTTATACCTTTGCTTCCTAGTTCTATTAAAGGCTAACGGTCATCAAGAAAAGCTTGCATTCTAACTGTTATTATGCCATGTCAGGAAAAAAAAAAGAACGATAGAAGGCAGCCATTAGAGAAAGAAAAATTAAATTATTCATATTTTTGGGCACATTTTATCCTTTTAACCTCTACTCAGTAACTGTGCACTCTCCAGTTTCAGTTTCCATTTCGAGCATAGTGCTATGCTATAAACCAAAAGCCCTTATTTTCCTAATCGTATAAGAAAAATATGCAAACAGAGAGGCTCAACGAGATGGTTTGCAAGTAAAAATAATGACAGAAAAAAAAAATAACACATGTGGAATCGCTGCTCGTGTATATCTTTCCTCATGCAAAAATCATCTCGAACTCTAAACTGACACTGGAATTTCAAAAAACGAAACGAACTGTCGAATGTTACAATGTCCCTGAACACTTCGCACAGATCAATCACACTAGGCAAATAGTTTTGTATCTTCAATCCTATTATAGCCCAATCGATGACAGCCAATAATATCATTCATCCAAAGGAAATAATATCAGAAATCTTCAATTCTATCAAAGTCTAACAGAAGAAAACGACGAATATCGTTCTGCGGCGAAACTTATCAAGATTCATTGCACCTGGATAGATCGCTCTTGCGAGCAAAAACAAAATTCAAAAATACGACGAAAATGGAGCGCGAATAGGGATGAAAAACTTACAGCGGTTGCAGACACGAATTAAAGTTCGAAGCTATTCGTCTGGCTAACTTTGCAGAGATTTTGTTGTCGTTCCGAATCGAAACCCTGTGAATTAGGGTTTATGAGAAATTGCAAAGACTCAGCAACATAACTGGCAAAAACCACAGTAAGAGTAAACGATGGAGAATGTAATAAAAATAAATAAAGACTAAGTTATAGGTTTATTTTTATATGTGTTAATTTATATTCAGTTTGGGATATATAGTCAAAAACTCTCTTAATACAGTCTTTTTAATAATTATAGTCTTTTTAATACAACTTATTTTATTATTTTTTCTTTTATATTTTGTAATTGGTTTTTTAAATTTTATAATAAAAACTACATATAATAAAAAAATTATAATTATTTTTAAGGGCATATTTTATATAAAATTTTAAAAATATATATATATTTAATAATTATAATAAAAATTATTTTAGTAATTATGATAAAAAATAATTTCTTTTATTTGATGTTATCATAATGAAAAGGTTAAGACAATCTTATGCACATGTATTTCATTAGTATTTATAAAAAGAATTATTATTTAATTGTTAAAGTGTGTTTAATAGATCCGTGATATAAGTAAAAGTAAACTTCAAAATCACATCTCATGTGATCTCTATTTTTGCTACGTTTTTTAAGTTGTTATTCTTAATTTTGTTAAAGAAAAATATCCTTGTAATTATTTCACTCTAATGGAAGTGGATTAAAAATAGGTATGCATAAAGAAAAAAAAAGATTATTTTCATATTAGAAGAGTGAGGTGTTTTTTTATTTGACTATGGAGAGAATGTGATTTTGCAAACAATGGGAATAACTCCCAATTTTAAAATCTTGAAAGAGTTTATTTTCATGTATAATCATAGGGTCATAACATTTTTTATGTAACCGATCGATTAACTCATGAAAATTGTCATTTTTTAAAAGTTGAGATAACGAAGACCGATTGATTATCATTTTCATATATCATAGTTTGGTATTAGATATCGAAATAATGAGCATAAACCTAATAGTTAAACATGTTTATAAGCTATTGAAGTGTAATTTAGTCAACCTTAATTAAAAGTTTATTTCAAAAGTTATGAATATAAAAGTAAAATAAAGGAGTATGTGATTGCATTTATTATGAAATTAATATTGTGTCATAATAACTGATTGGATTCAGTAACTAACTTGAACTTTGTGTCTTTGTAGGTACACAACTGCTCAGCCCGAAGACTAAATCAAGAATATTAAAAACAACAATAACCAAAATCGAAAATAATGTAGAAAAGCTAGTAATTAAGTGTAGAGGAATGATTCTTGACCCCACTGTCCGGAACAATATAAACATTACTATATAGTTTATATTAATCTTGAAAAATGTTATCCTATATAAGTTGAGTTATTTTTTAATGAATTTGCAAGATGATATGGTAATCATAAAACAAGTCGAAAGAAAGTTGAAAGGATCATGAATTTGCAAAATTCATAAAGTTTGTGTAGAAAATGGTTACAGATTTCCATTGTATTTAGCTTTCGAATGCATAAGTATTTTTATCAAGTTTACATCGGTAAATTTAGGGTTGTTCACTTTAGATGATTGGAGTATATTTTGAAGTAAAGTTTGTGAAAATTAGTGTAGAATTTGACCAATGTGATAGATAAAAAAGATTGTTTAATTGGTATAAATTAAAGATTACCAAAATGTCCCTAGTTATAAAAATAATATAAAATAATAATTGTTAATGTTATATATAATTGTAAAAAAGTTTATAAGGAAACAAAATAATATAATTTAATTTTTAAAATGTAAAAATATTATGCACGAGAGAATAACCGAAGGAAGAATCAAATATCATAGAGATGAAATCAAATATCACAGAGGTAGGAACCGAATACAAATAATGAAACCGAATACACAAGAAGGGAGAACCAAATACACACCAGGAGAACCGAATACAACCCCATCCACTTTTATTGCTTGAGGTAGAACCAAATACTATTCTCTTTAACCTAAAATGGTTTGGTGGCTTCTGCATCTTTAATCTTCTTCTTCAACCACTATTTTCTTCATCTTTATCCATCAATCCCATTAACATTAACCATAGACCAGTTCCTTCGTTTTTTACGTGTTATTTTTCCTCTAACAAACATGACACTTTAATAAAAATCACTATAAATTCTAATCGAAAGCAAACATGACATTTTAATGCAAATCACTACAAATTCGAGTGTGATAACAAGGAGATAAAAAAAATTATATCTCGTAAATGAGCATAATTTCATCTTCATATATCAACTGAATGAACACAATCTATCTTACAAATTCATCCTCGCGTTCTATCTTGAACAGTGCATTCCGCTTATGAGAACACAAGTTCAAAGATACTTATTTCAAATTGCTATGTTCTTTTACACACAATTACATCAAACTGTTTTTTTGTTCTCCTCATATTTAGTTTTGATGTTCAACTTTTCTTACTTTGTAAATAAGAAGAATTAAATCTGATATTTTAAAATTTAATATTTGTATTTAAATAAACTGCAATGTTTAAACACCTTTAACACCAATATTATCAATAATATTTAGACATGTGAGATATAGATAAAATCATATCAATCAATGACGTGTCATTTCACGTTATGAAATAAATGGAAAAAGTCTAAGTTGAATTTTTTTTAACAAACAAAAAACTAAACTAACTTCTTTTAAAGGCTAGAGAACAAAACGAATTAAGTAGGAAAAAATCCAAACACATCATTTAGCCAAAAATAAAACACATTAATTAAACAGTAAAAATACATATTAATTAGCGAGGCGCTTGTTATTTTAATTCAAAAACAGTAAAATGGACTCATCATTACTGTATGAGATCACTTTGATAAGAAAATTTATGGAAAAATATGGACGTGTGAAGTGAAGCACTCTTCGGGAAGCAAATCTGTGTTGAATTGTATACAAGATTACAACCATATATGTTCGGGGTACTTTGTCCCTAGGGAAGCTGTCCAGTTTNGATAAGAAAATTTATGGAAAAATATGGACGTGTGAAGTGAAGCACTCTTCGGGAAGCAAATCTGTGTTGAATTGTATACAAGATTACAACCATATATGTTCGGGGTACTTTGTCCCTAGGGAAGCTGTCCAGTTTTGTTCTTTTAGTATTTTACGTGTTTCCTTTTAAATTTCTTTTCTAGGTTAACAAAAACATAATTTCAGGGCAATTTAAAAAATCGACACGCATTTTTTATACACTTGTTAACCATTTTTTTTTAAATTGCAACAAATCTCATCTCTTAGAAAGTTACAAAATAATGTATAAGGTAACATGCTGTTAATATTTTATACTGTCAAATAGATCAACGTATACATCATATATCTTCGTTAAAAGATTAAATTATCGATAAGTTGACGGAAAATGGATCGCAACAAAAACTATTTACTTCAAGATAATGCTTCAACTTTGTGTTTTTTCCTCAAAATAATTTACACAAGACAACATCAACAATAACAATAATAATAATTTAAGCAGTTTAAATCAAATCTTACCACAAGAAACGACATTAGAAGTTAAGTACAATATTACCCTTTGTTCGATTGTTCTAAGTTAAGTACAACATTAGAAGTTAAGCATAATAATTTAAGCTCATTGTTTTAAGTTGTGAAGTATCCAGCAAGAGTACACCATGTTAGGCTAATAAAGAAGAGACACAAAACTAAGTCAGATTTTGAACTAGACAGATAACTAATATCTCCAATACATAACATTCATGTAGTAGACAGCAATACACCTGGAGAGGTTGTGTCCCATCCGAGTTTCGGACAACAGAAAATAAGGCTACACGAAATTAGAACTACGAAACCCTCCACTGACACAAATACAAGAAATGATGTCCAATCAGTCTCCACTTGCACAACCCTTGCATCCACAATGAACACACTCTATGACCTTTTCCTCCCTAAGTTGCTTGGGAACTCTGCAAACACAAGTGGTGGCAAAATTGTGGTCGCGTGGCTGCATGCACCTCAGGCAGCATAGACGTTCATAACCAGGCTGCAATTCGGACCAGAAACACGATTTAGGTACTCAACGTCCAACATAGAAGAAATAAAATCAAGTACCAGTATTACGATAATATTGTTTTGGCTGAGTATCAAACACTTTAAAACAATTAACATCTTCAAGAGGGCACAAATGAGTCCAGCATTAACATATTTTCTCATTTCACAAATACTCAATATCAATATCAGACTGAAAATGAGTTCAGACTGGACAATTTTGACTTCATAAAGTTGATTTCGATTAAAAGCCAGTTTGAAGCAATGTGGTTTATGTAAAAATTTAACCCATCTGAACAAAAGCTGAATGTATCTTACATTAAAATTGTGTTTAATCACAAAATTCTGTTTGAAACAGACACCGGATCTTTTTTAAAACAAGTTTACAAATGACAAAATCATGGTTAAAAGTGAGAGAAATGCAAGCATCCAATGCAACCTAAAACAGTGCAGCAGGACGGCTGCTATACCAGTGAATGTCATGTATACAAGATAACCTATTTTCTACTATACACATAAATGCTAAAGAAGCCTAAAACTAAAGATATGATTAAGCCTTCAATAATAATCAATGCCAGGGATATAATGAATCTAGGCATAGTAAACAAGTTCGTCAATATTGATTGGTTATGAATCATAAACCAGCATGAACACTGATCATTGGTGTTTCTAATTTCACCACCAGATTTTAAATGAGAATGGGCATACACTTAGCAACTAACATTATCGAAAATCAGATATTTTATTGCAAGAAGAAATATTGCAGACGTTTTTATTGCATAAGAGGTGTTTCACGACGCCAGAAAAATGAGGGAGTTTTGTTATCAAGATGGATTTGGATAGTTTAAGAGAGAGTAGGGCCAGAGAAGGTTCTTGGTTGAAAAGTTTCCTTATAGAAGGAGAATATGGATTTGTAGATGCATCTAAATTGCTACTTAAGTTGTTATAAAGTTTGAGCCTAAATCACAGTTCAAATAATAGTGGGGAGTCAACTGGTCGTAGTGATCCCCAATCTTCAGTTTAACGACTGATTGTTTGGTTTTGTAAGCCACCAAGATATTTCTTTGCATGGTAATTAATCAATTTTTCTGTAGTGACCTGCTTGGATTTGATTGTCCTTGTCCGGATCTGTTTGGCTACTTTCCCTTGCTATCTCTTGCTTAATCAAAACAGTCATAAATGACCCAAAGACTCATAAAACCATGAGGTATTTTCATTGATGAGCAATAAAATGCTAAGTAAATGAGTAACAGCTTGGTAGATGTTGGAACTCGAAATTTATTTTCGAGGAATATATTACTATAGTTTAGGTGAGGGTATCCTTATTAAAGTTTTTCGAGAGGAGCTTGAGATGGGCAATGGTCTTTTTTCAGAGGCTTTTCCTGCATGTTTCATCTATCTGATTGCAAAGTTTTCCTAGTAGCCACTTCTAATCCAACTAAGAAAATAAATTACTATTTACAAAGGGACTTTAATTAACTATTTGGATATGGATAATATAGAGAACTACAATTCTATTTCGTTTTACACTATTACTTGATTCTATTTCTCCCTCAACCAAGTTAGATAGAAGAGTTTGGATAATATCTCCTCCAGTACTTTCTCCTACAAAGCTTTCTTTCAATTTCATACTCGCACACCTGACCTTCAAAAGCTTCTACCTGATATATCCGTTTTAAAATCCAAACCTCTTAAAAAGGGCAAGACCTCTCATATGGAAATGGTTAACATGATTAGTGGTAAACTCATAGACCTTACACCCTGCTATTGGCCCTATTCGAGAACACTTAGCCAAATCTGTTCGGGAGACTTATTTTTAATTCTAAGTTTTAGGCAACTAAAGGACTTCTCGTCCTCCATCTAGTCGAACTTCAATGAAGTTTCTTCTCCAATGAAAAAAGAGATAAAAAAACAAAAGCTTTTTAAAAAATAGAATAAAAACATATTTTAGGTACCTTCTTCCATTTGGCAATTAGATTGCGGTCAGCATATCCTTGATCTAGACAGAATTCATACAGTTCTTTAGAAATTTCCTTTCTCCGATGGTAGAGGTCAAATATGTAGCGGCTCTTCTGGTGTGCAATCTTAAATATTGGCCACAATGTCTCACATTTTCTTTTGCCATCATGTGGATCATTCTCAGCTGCCACATAAAAGGTATAAAACTATTAATTTAATAGAACACAATATAATCTAGTAAGGCAAGCACATGATGTAAATCTCCAACCTTCCCTCATCTTTGCTTGGAGTTCACGGAGTGTAGGCTCAATTAACTCCCAACCCTCTGGGTATTTAACACGATTTGTCTTTACTTTTGGCATTTTTATATCTGTTTAAGGAAACATGGAATCAAAGGGTCAATTTCCATACATTCTACTGAGCAATTTCCACAATTTGCATCTTGAAGGCTTATTACACTGCTAAATTATAATGTCATGATGGTAAGAAATCCTTTTAGACAACATGAATATTTAGCATTTGACAGAGTAACAACATAACAGTTAAAAAAAATTAACACATGTAGAGTCACTGTTCATATATATCTACAGGAACTTTCATCAAGCAAAATCATCTCGAACTCTCAACTGACACCGAGATTTCAAAAAACGAACCAAACTCTCGATTGTTACAATGTTCCTGAACACTTCAAACAGATCAATCACGCTAGGCAAATAAATTTGTATATTCAATCCTATCAAAGCCTAATCGAAGACAGCCAACAGTATCATTCACTCAAAGGAAAGTAAGAGAATCAGAAATCTTCAATTCTATCAAAGTCTAATCGAAAATCGTTCAAAAGAAAATAAGAGAATTATTAATAATCAAATAAGTTCATCAATTATTGGATTTTACTATTCCTCGAAAAGCTTAACCTAGGTTAGCCGCTGCAAACCTAGAAGATAGCAAAGAAACTTATCAAGATTCATTGCACCTGGAAAGATCGCTTTTGCGAGCAATCACAAATTTCACAAAAAAAACGACGGAAAATGGAGAGCGAATAAGGATGAAAAACCTACAGCTGTTGCAGACAGGAATCAGAGGTCGAAGCTATTCGTCTGGCTGACTTCGCAGAAATTATGTTGTCGTTTCGAATCGAAACCCTATGGATTAGGGTTTAAGAGGAATTCCAACGACTCAAAAACATAACTGGAAAAAACTACTGTAAGAGTAAACAATTTTGAGTAAGGCGACTGTAACAAAAATAAATAAAAACTACGTTATATGTTTACTTTTATATATGTTAATCTTAATTTATATTCAGCTTCGTATGTATAATTTATAATATCAATAGCCTATACTTTATACCATTATCTTTATATCTACATGATTTTTTTCCAATCAAATAAGTTTATATTATATAGTATGTCTCGTAGGAAAATCCGATTAATCACATATAAGACAATTAATCATTACTTGGATTAACGAATTTGATTGATTATTAATCGATAAAACAAATTAATCGATTATGAGTTAAAATACATTAATTTTATTGTTAATTAATTTAAAGATAAAGTATAAATTTAAGATAAAGCCATATGTGATTTATATCTACTGTGCCATTAATTATTAACCGTTTAACGTTAAAATTTCTTATGAAATATATTTCAAACAATTTGAATGATCAATTAATCCAAGGTCGAAACATATATCATTCTGATTTTGATAATTTCAATTTTTTTTTCAATTTTATGGTTTTTAAATAATTATTTTTAAATTAAAATAATTGTCTTATAATTCTTTCTCCTTTAAGTCTACAAATTTAACTATTTTTTACATTATATTCTTTAAATAACATATTTTAAACAAAAATAACTATATATTATACATTTGACTTTTTTACAAATGATCGTTTAACATCAATACTTTCATGATTTTATATATAATATATATAATATATATAATAATAATAAATATATATAATATAAAATTATAATTATAAAACCACATGTGTATACTTATCAATTATCAAGATGTTGTTTATCGGTTTTTGATGTGCACCTTTTTTTTATAAAATTTTATTGTTAAATATGTATATAGTATTAAATTAAAATAATTGACATATTGTTTTATTTTTAGAGTGATTGGTTGTTTAAATTAATTATTTTAAATTAAAATAATAACTATTTTTTAAGTTACTATTATACCCCTAGTTTAACTATTCACTTCTAAGTTTAAATCATCTAAAACCAATATAGTTTTTCGTTCTAATTATTTTAGTTTGTCCTCAAACTGTTACATTGTTATTGATCATCTTATTTTTTTAAAAAATAATCAATCTTCATCCAGAGTTATTTAATGTGTATCATTTAAGATCATTATGTTTTTAATGATGGTGATGTGGCAAAAGACTTGTAATGATGTGGACCAAAAGAACATATTGCGAATGATCCATTTAATCTAAGGTGAAAATTGTAAGATTAGGAAAAAGTTTAAAAAAAATTTACCTAACTCTTGAAGGGCGCTACATCCCTACCTTCCGCTAGCACCCTCAGCGTCAGAGCTGAATGGAGCTCCAAGACTAGAGTTATGACCATCAACTTTGAGTATCGAACGCTACTATAAGAACACCAACACGAACCCAGAATAACGTTGTAATGTCACAACCGCCACTATCCTCACCTTCTTCTAATATTGTCAATGTTATTTTTGACTCGAGGCACTGTTGGCATTGGCAGCGTCATCTCTTTTCTCCTTTTCTTCCTTCACAACTAGCACTAGTATATTCAATGTTATTAGAGTCACCTACACAGCCCCTAGCCATGCACACATAGTCAAATCCAACCCTTTCTTTTTCTTTCCAAACCCAAGAAAGCCCATACCTTTCGCCATCCCTACAACAAAATTAAAAAGGTCAAACTTTTTTCGCTCACAACTCAGTTTTAGACCAAGATAGTTGCACTAAATTACTACAAAATTCTCAAGATCTGTGATTTTTGTGGCCACTTCACTTTCTTAGATTTTACATTAGCACATTGAGGGGATATTTTGATTGTCTTGAATGAGAAAACAATCTTGAAAAGTAAAGAATATTTTCAAATAGTAAGAAAAAACATTATAAAGTCAAAACTAAAGTGTCTTACTAATGAATAACATTTCACTAAACATAAAAAAATATTTCAAACTCTTACAACATTAACCAAGAAAAAGAGAAAGGAGTTTCACATCATCTTGTTTTACTCATACTATTTAATCTCTTGTGATATGCATGTTCAGTAAGGATGATAAAATTAACTTAACTGCATTGAACTGTCGGTTAATTGTATTATATTATATAAAAAAAATTTAAGTGTTACGATAAAACTATAAACTATACCATCTTATAATTTCAATTTTAAAAAGTTCAATCTTTATAGTTGAAATTTAGTTAATTATTCATTAATTTAATACTACTTTGTTTTAAACTTTTTACTTGTTTTAGAGTCTCTAAAGTTGCAATTTACTTTAGATATTGTTAACTAGACCAAACTTTAGTAGGACCAACTCGATCAAATTTGATCAATTTTTGGTCGTCTTGACCTTCGTCATGCTCGACCTGTTATAGTTTGGTAAAGTCGACAACATCTAATCAAAACTGCAAGTTTAGAGATTCTTAAATAAGTAAAAAGTTTAAATCGAAATAATTTTAAGTCAATAAGTAGTTAACTCAACTTCAACTTTAGATATTTAATTTTTTAAAATTAAACTATAAAATTGTATAATTCAACTTTTATTATGAACAATACAATATTATTTTTGTATAATATAATACAGTTAATTCATAATTTAATGCAATTAAGTTAATTTTACTTACCCATGCACCAACTTTTTTCCTCTTAATACTTTTATAAAAAAACACATCCTTAAAAAAGATAAACTAACAATTACATCTACCAAAAAAAAGGGCATTACCGACGATCCTACTCCGTCGGAAACCGCCAAAAAGTCGTTGGTAATGCCTATTATTGACGGATTAGCGACGACCAGTTTTTTGTTAGTAAATTGTTTGTCAATAACAATTACCAACGGCCTTTTGTCCTTCGTAAGTTCTTCGGTAATCCCGAAGGGAAAAGGCCTTCGGTAAGTTCCTTCGGTAAGAACAGGAAAAATAAGTGATATTTGTATTTGCTATCCAATCACACAAACTGCATAACATTTTCAAACCACAGACAGACCTCCATACATCATGCCCAAATCATCCAATCATTAATGGATAAACAACAATATAATAACATCATTTGTATTGTGAAATTTTAAGAACTTGTATTTGTAAATGCAACAATGAAACATAAAACAATATGTTCATCTAGCAAATGTAATGTAACATAATCATAATGTAACATCCAAATGTTCTAACAACTATGTTCAATAACAAAATAAAACTAATAATCTACATAGTCATCATCAGAATGATCTTCATCATCCTGCCACTCTGTAGATGGCTGAGTGGTGTGGGTTGAACTAGTGTGGGCTGGACTGATGTGGGCTGGACTAATGTGGGCTGCTGAGGGACGGCGGGTGACAGGGAGGGTTGTGGCTGAGTCGGAGGGACGGTGGAATGAATGTCTGAAGCTTCAGACAGTGCTTTCACATGACTAGGGACTAAAGTGTGTAAACTTATTCTCGTTCTCAATTCAGCGTCTTTCTTGTCTCAAATCATGATTTCCTGGTCACGTTGTTGTAGTATTGTGTCAAGTGCTCGACGGCCCTCGTCAGCAGTGATGGTTAAAGAAGAAGGTTGGTGCTTCAAGTACCTCCTCTTGCTGCTGTGTAGTTTGCAGCCAGCTGTCCTGCACTATACACTCATCCCTTTTTCTTCCCACCAACGACATCGACCCACTACTATGTCCTACAGATGTCGGTGTCTTCATTACTCACATCATTCCGTGTAGAAGCTGACCCATGTTCGGATCTAACCTTGAAGTCTCATAGAAAATTCTTCTTGTTCAAACATTCAAAGTTAGGGAATGATAGAGTAACATAAATAAAATTAACTAGCTAATAGTAGCATTTTTATTTGATTACATGAGTCTTCCAAGACCTTTCATCACGAATTCAATAGTTCTCTTCCCACACGAATCTGTGCAAGACTCATCAACATGGACGCCGTCCTAAAGCTTGTGCCTGTACATAATTTGAGTTAGAAGTGTAGATGAAATAGAAAATACATACGTTAATATGAAAGAAACATAAAAGTAATGAAGGTTTACCATACGAATGACATACTCATGAACCGTGATCGATCCACCGGTATGCAGGGTGTCACCCTTTTTTCAAAAGCTTTGTTCTTTTGGGCTCTAGCACACTTATTGCGAAAATCTGGTGAATTCCAATGAGCGAGTAACTAGTTTCAAACGTGCTCGCCCCCCAGTAAGGTCGCTCCCCTGCCAAGCGAGCATCCCTAAACATTTCTAACAGTCGATGAAATGCTTTACTGTGGAAATTTCTTTGTATAGCAGTTTCATGTTCAGGTTTTCACTGCACCTTCATCTATTACAATAAACAAAAGAAACATTGATTAATGAACATACTAAAATAAGAATGACAATTACTTTAATGGGTTGTTCACCTATTTAGTAAACTTTTTTAGGTTTTAAGAAGTCAATTTTAAGTCGTAGGTATTTGATCCAATTTGACATGTTTCTTACATTCATTTTACTAGTTTAAACTTGTTAAGATATGAAGATTAGACGTTCTTAGGCTAATTTAGGTGAATTTCAAATTTCTCACCTATTCTAGTCTATTTATAGGTGTTCAATAGTCAAAATTTTGCTTTTCTCGCTATTTTTTATGGAGACGTCATTTTTTATCTTTCTTTACTTTTTACAAGTTGTTTACATTGTTTCGTTTACTGTTTTGGTTAGTACTTTAATACATTTTGCATTCTTTGCACTTTTACTGTATTCTAAGTACTACTGTTTAGATTCTAGGTTGTCATATTTTGAGTTTTTGTATTTTTTGTAGTGTTAGTTCTTAATTAGTTGGTTTTACATTATAAACTGTTAGGATAGTTTCTTTCTAGTTTTCTTTTCCTATTTTTAGTGCAATTTGCAATATGTAGTACACCTTTTTGAGGTTGAGTAGTGATCTTTAGCTACTTCATCTACTTTTTTGGTTTTCAAGTAGGCAAACTTTGAGATTTAGCTACTCATATATTTTGTCCTGTTTCTTAACTTTCA